TCCATGTGGGCTTTGTTGCTTCTAAGCTAGATGGCCGCTTCTTTACCTTCAAGCCTTTAAGACCCCAGACACTATATCTTTTGATAGCCAGGGCCTCATTCTTCTTAGTGGACTCCAGCGTCTCAGTTTACTTGCGTAGCGTACAGATGGAATCAGTGTGGTGAAAGGATACAACTGTGAGACACACCTCTTGTTATTTTAAACCATGCAGTATCCTAATTCTGTTAGAACAATTGCCTCTTGGTCGCCGTACAGGTTCTCACTGAGCACAACGAAGGGTTGGAATTTCCATTCTCCGCTGTGCTACCCCTCATCGGCCATGATCCACAGAGTCTGAAGCCTTGGTACTCACTCACACTCGCTGCTACTGAGTCGATGCCGACTCACAGTGACCCCCATGAGTTTCTAAGCCTGTAACTCTTTCGGGGAGTAGATAGCCCCATATTTCTCTCACAGAGGGGCTTGTGGGGCTCCTGAAGCTTTGGTATGGTCAGTAAAACATAGGCAAACATCTTTTTTGACATTCTCTGTTTATCAAGATCCCGCTGGCACCAGCAATGATATCCTTTGTTCCATGTCCTCTTCTGAGTCAAACTTGAATTCTAGCAGCTCCCTGTCAATATGCTGCTGGATCTGCTTTTTAATGATTTTCTGCAACATTTTACTTGCCTGTGATATTAATTATATTAATTAATTATATAATTAATTATATTATTCGATAATGCATTCTGTCTGATCACCTCTTTTTGGAATAGATACAAATCTGGATCTCTTCCAGTCAGTTGGTCAAGTAGCTATCTTTCAAATTTCTTGGCCTAGAGGAATGAGCATCGTGTGTTGAGCCAATTGTTGAAACATTTCAATGGCTAGTCTGTGAATTCCTGGAGCCTCATTTCCCCACTCGTGCCTTCCTTTCACAGCGTGGACTTCTCCCTTCAATACCATCAGTTCTGGATCATATGTTACCTTCTGAAATGGTGAAACACCAACCAGGCCTTTTTGGTGCGGTAACTGTGCAGTCTCCCGATCTTCCCTCAATGTTTTCTGCATCATTCAATATCTTGGCCATATGGCCTTTCAGGAATGCAACGCGGGCTTTAATTTTTCATTCAGTTCTTCCAGCTTGAGAAATGCTGAATTTGTTGTTCTCTTTGGGTTTTCGCATTCTAGATTTTGCACATTTCATTGTAATTCTTGACCTGGTCTTCTCGAGCTTCCCTTTGAAGTCCCTGGTCAGCTCCTTGACGTCCTCAGTTCGTCCATTCACTTTAGCTTCTCCATAGTCAAGATCAAATAACACACTGCAGTGGATGAATCTGCTGAGCAACAACTCTATAAAGTGTTACAAAGCAAGGATGTTACTTTGAGGAGTAAGATGTGCCTGAACCAAGCCTTATTTCCAGTGGTCTCAGGTGCATGTGAAAGTTGAACATTGGATACCGAAGACCACAGACCATCGGTGGATGAACTTGAACCATGGTGCTGGCGAAGTATACTGAACGTACCATGGACTGCCCAAAGAACAAACAACTCTGTCTTGGAAGAAGAAGCACAGCCAGAATGCTCCTTAGAAGCAAAGATGGCAAGACTTCATCTCATATACTTTGGACACATAATTTATTAGGAGAGATCAGTCTCTGGAGAAGGACATCATGCTTGGTAAAGCAGAGGGTCAGGGAAAAAGAGCAAGGCCCTCAACAAGGTGGACTGACACCATGGCTGCCACAATGGGCTCAAGCATAAGAACCATGGGAGCATGGCGCAGGGCCAGGCAGTGTTTCATTTTATTATACGGGATCTCTATGACTCGGCATCAACTCAACAGCACCTAACAGCAAGAGCATGTTCTAGAGCAGTGGTTCTCCACCTTCCTAATGCCGCCACCCTTTAAGATAGTTCCTCATGTGGTGGTGACCCCCCAACCATAATTATTTCTATTGCTACTTCATCACCGTCATTTTGCTACTGTGATGAACCCAGTGAACCCTGTGAAAGGATCGTTTGACCCCCAAAGGGGTCTCGACCTACAGGTTGAGAACTGCTGCTCCAGAGGAAGGTTCAGCGTGTCTTCTAACATCTATTTTGGCTTTTCTTCCTTTCCTGTCTTTTGAATGATTTTGGCTTTCTTCGTGTATGGTGTCCTTGATGTCCTCCCACAACCAACAGGTCTTCTTCGGTGGTCACTCATGTGAACCACAGTTCATCTGTTCTTGAGATGGGATATACGGGTCATGGTTTGGGTCTTGCGGACTTGTTTTAACTTCCTTCAGTTTCAACTTAACATGCCCCAGAGCAATTGGCGCCCTTCTCCTCAGTCAGCTCCCGGCCTTGTTTCAATGGACGCACGGGAGGTTCTACAGATGTAGTCCAGTTGGCTTCTGAGCACTCCATCTGGCGAGGTCCCCATGGATAGTCCAACTAGCTGTTGTTGGAAAATGCTATCTCCAAGAAGTTGGCCTTGAAAATTTCTGTCCTGTAATCGCCAGCACTTTTCTCTCACCAAGACCATGTTTTCCAGCAATCGGTCTTTCAAATATGGCATGAGCCATCTGGGACTACAAAATATAGTTGTTTATTTGAAATTCAGAATTAGCTGGTCGTTCTGTATTTGCCAAATCTGGCATCTCTAAATGGGGAAGGCAGGCCAGTGCCATTGTTAAGAATGCAGTATCTGAGTCAGGGACAACCTGGGCTCTACCATGCATGTGCTGTGTGACCTTGCACTAATCGCTTCTCCTCTCACAACTGCAGTTTCCACATCCGTAAAAGTGTCATCTAGGCCCAGCCTCATGGGGTGGGTGAAGTTGTAATGTGTCACCCCCACCAGGCACTGTCTCGGGGCCTGCCACAGAGGGAGCACGTACTGTTAAGGGGCATTTACTTGGTGACAATGAGGAGGGCAGTGACGATGCTGCTGCTGACCAGGCCCCCTTGAGGAAGGTGCCACAGAGGACAGAGGCCCCACCCAAACCCCCTGGGCCACACAGACGGTAGGAGCTCTTACCTGGCCCTCCAGGTCAGCCACGTTCCTTCCAGGAGATGGCCCTGGGAAGCCCTGCCCTTTCTGGAGTTGGAAGACTGGGGCTCAGAGGGGCCTTGCCAGCCTCCTGGTCCCAGGGACAGGCCACTCTAGAGGAGACAAAGACCCGCCCCTGGGCTGGACTTGGCAGGGAGGAGGTGTAGAGCAGTGGTTCTCAACCTGTGGGTGGAGACCCCTCTGGGGATCGAATGACCCTTTCCCAGGGGTCGCCGGATTCATGACAGTAGCAAAGTGACAGTGAGGAAGTAGCAGCGAAAATACATTTATGGTTGGGGAGTCACCACCACATGAGGAACTATTTGAAAGGGTCGCGGCATTAGGAAGGTTGAGAACCACTGGGGTAGAGATTAGGTGTAAGGCCGGGACGGAGTCAACCAATGCTCTACTGTTGACCCCCGACCCTGGGACTAACACTCTTCTACTAAGCAGTGGAGAGAGCTTCCCACTGTGACCTGCAAGAACTATTGATCAGGTCAGACCTGCGTCTTACACTGTTTTCCCATCTGAGGAATGGACAGGCCACCCCATCCCTGGATGTAAGGAGATCAGCAAGCTGACTCCTGCTCTTCTTGGCTCAAGCCTCAGCCTGACTTGGTTTCCCCCACCAGGGTCCAGATTTCGGCTACGTGACCCGGGAACCACGAGACAAGTCTGTGAGTGGTCTGGACTCCTTTGGAAACCTGGAGGTCAGCCCCCCGGTGGCGGCAAATGGACAAGAGTACCCCTTGGGGAGGATCCTCATTGGGGGCAACCTGCCTGGGTGAGAGAGGTGCAGGAGAAGCCCTCCTGGGGTGAGCTGGGGGTAGGGTGGTGATGGAGGCTGGGGAAAGGGGCCATTGCACCCCCCTCCCCCATGAGGAGCAAGCTGTCCACACTTACTGTAGGAAGCCTGAGAAAGCTAGCGACAGAGACCTTAGCTCATTCCGTTCAACCTAGTTGTGGAGGGGAGAGGGAAATGGGGAGACCACAAGCCCCGACAATGTCGGAGGGCGTGATACCAAAATGACCCTGCATCTGGCTTCACTGGGCTTTCAGACCCCCCACCCGGCCAGTACATGCGGATCAGCGTGAGGGCAGGCCGCCGGGGGTGCCCGCCCGCTGGACGGACAGGAAGGTCTCCACCTTGGGCAGTGGACGAGGGGAGGGTATGCGGGAACCTCGTAGAAGGGGGCAGGACTCCGAGGGACAGGTCAAGGCCCTGAGTTGCTTGACCCTGCACGGGAGGTAGGCAGGGCGGCTCCGCCACAGGGAGAGCCACGGGCCCAAGCACTTCATTTTACAAGTGGATCCAGAGAGGAAGGGTGAGGAGCGACAACAAACAGCGGGTGCCGATGGCCGAGTCTGTCCGTGCATGCGCAGAGCTGCAAGTCTCAGCTGTCCTGGGAGAGATCACGTCCAGTCAACGTGTGTTCGTGCCACTCGGCGATGACTAACACTGGGTGGCTTCCTGAGCCGAGGAGAGGGAGGTGTGGGTCATAGAAAGAACCACGGCAGTGACCCGAAGAGAGCAATGTGACCGGGGCCTCAGATGGAAGAGAAAGAAAGGGAATCAGACTGTGATGTCATTGCTGTGGAGGAGATCGAGGAACGGAGCCAACCGAAGTCTGCCAGGCTGTTAGAACAGACTGCTCACAGCCAAGCTCAGGCGGATTCCCACTCAGAGCGGCCCTAGAGAACAGGGTAGAACTGCCCTGGTGAGTTTTTGAGACGGTAACTCTTCAAGAGCCCAGCTTTGGAGGGGATGACCCATTGACATCACGTTGACATCACTCATCGTGACCGTGGGGTTTCTGAGACCCTGAATCTCCATGGGAGCAGAGAACAGGGGTGGGTGGGGGCATGAGGCGGCTCAACTTTTGCCTGACGGCACAGACAGGGTTCCTTTTAGGAGGGGATTAACTGCCACCAAATACATGGCCCTACAGAAAGGGGTCATGTAGGTCATGCCATTCGATACTTTAGAAGGCCAATCAGGAAGAGCGTTTAAATTCACTGACATAAAATGATGGGGGTAAGAGGCCCCTCTGGGGTGATCTTGTACACTGCCCTGACCACTGATGTCCTAAGAGGTGAGGCTGCAGTAAGAGGGCTGTAAGCTAGACTTAGGAAGGACTGTCCAGGCCCGGGGATTTGAATGGGCAGTCAGTCTCCCAGAATAGACCAGGCTAGTCTGGAGGACTCGTTTATCTAGTGGGACTTGGTGGGCCCTGGACTGCGTCTGCCTTCCTGAAAACCCACCAGGGTGGAATCTGATGCATACCTATACATCGGTGGTGTAGTGGTTGGTTACGTGTTGGGCTGCTACTTGCAAGGTCAGCAGTTTGAAACCACCAGCCACTTGGTGGAAGAGAAAGGAGGCTTTCTACTCCGGTAAAGAGTTACAGTCTTAGAAACTCACAGTAGCCCTTCTCCCCTGCTCTGCAGGGTCACTAAGCATCCGATCAGCTGTACAGTTGTGAATGAGGTTGTCGTTAGGTCCCCACGAGCTGATTCAGATTCATGCTGGCCTAACAAGGCAGAGCGGACGGCGATGCAGAGGGCTGCCCACGTTGTGGCACACGTGTATACATGCAATTTCACATATGCATGTTCCTGTATTGAAAAACCAGATATTACGAACACCTTGAACCCGCACCATTCCATGCTGCATAGATTTTTCAATTGCCTGACTTTTTTCAAACCCATGGCCCAGGTCGAGCGGCCGCAGGGTCACCCAGGTGGTCCGGGACTTCCTCCACGCCCAGAGGGTGCAGCCACCCGTGGAGCTCTTCGTGGACTGGCTGGCCGTGGGCCACGTGGATGAGTTTCTGAGCTTTGTCCCTACGCATGATGAGAAGGTAAGGGCGGGGGCAGGGGGGGCTGCCCTGCAGGACCGGACAGGGCCCTGCACTCTGGGGACTGAGCTGGCTCTGTCCCCTCCATACAGGGCTTCCGGCTGCTGCTGGCCAGCCCCAGCGCCTGCTTCCGACTCTTCCAGGAAAAGCAGAAGTGGGGCCACGGCAGGGCGCGCCTGTTCGAAGGGGTTGTCGGTGCGTAAAAGCGCCCCTGCTCCTCACAGCCCGCTATCTACTGCAAGGCACGCCTGGACTTGGAAAAGGGGCGGCAAACGGGAAAGCCAGGCTACCGTCCAGGACGTGCGATCCCTCTCTCCCGCCGCCACCCGCCCTGCCCCATCCGGCCCCCTTTCCCAACCTCGGGCCCCTGGGTGGCCTGCAGAGATGGAGGCCGGAAGCTTGGAGGGGCGGGGCGACATGGGGGGCGGGGCGGCTCCCCCACCCACCCCGACACGTGACTGTGTGCTCGGAGACTCTCTGTGCTCCGTGGATTAAGAATTGGGGCTTTGTCCTTTGTAAGCAAAAGCCACCGATTGATGTAGTGCCTCTTGGGGACTTGGGAGTTGACTCACAAACAGGTCCACCTCCCCGGAGCCTGGGCTGACAGTGGGCTGGGGTCGGGCGTTGGCAGCATCTCAGGGCGGGACCTGGCGGCCATGCTTTGGGCTGGTCCTAGGCAGACGCATTGCGTGCACTTGGTGGTGGGGAGAGGCGGCTGCCACCCCCTGATGCTGGGCCCTCTCACCTCCCACAATACTCTGCAATACCCCGACACACCACCAGGGCATGGCCTCCTGCAGCCTGGGGGCCAGCACACCTTCCTGTACACCCTGTGTGATCTGCACAGGAGCCTGGGAGAGGGCCCTTCTGTTACCTCTGTCACTCCCCCAAGAATCAGCGACTCAGAGAAGAGGGTGGCTGGCGCAGAGGCCTCAGCAAGAACCCCAGAGCTGGGACTCCACCCGGCGATGACTGCAGAGGGGTGGAAGGGGTTCAGGGACCCCCAGGTGTGCTGGTGACTTGGGGGAGCCTCCTCTCTTGGTGTTGACTTGGAGCCCTTTGATGTGCCCAGGATCTCAGTTTAAATCAAAGACCTGTTTCCTAACTGTGTGACTCTGGGCAAGTACCTTTCCCTCTCTGAGCCTCAGTTTCCCCATCTGCCTTTGAGTCATCGCCATCCCATGGACAATGAGCCGAGCCGAGTGTGTCCTGGTCCAGTGCTGTCCCCTTGATTTGTGTCAGATGGAGCCACTGGGAATTTGTAGGGTTTTCATTGGTTGATATTCTAACGTCGATCCTCAGGCCTTTCTTCCTGGTCTGTCTTAGTCCGGAAACTCCTGAAACCTGTCAGCACCCTGACAGCACACAGGCCTCACTGACAGGTGGGCGGTGGGCTGGGGACTGAAACCCAGGCTCCTTCTGGGGCTCAGTCCCCAGCCCTGGAAGGCCAGACCCTGGCTTGTATCACCCCTGCCTCCTTCCTCGCTGTGCGACCGGCTGGGTGACAGTGTGCACCTTGTGCGGCTGCCAGAAGCAAACAGAGAAGTCTGCCATGGAGTCGATGCCGACTCCCAGTGATCCCATAGGACAGGGTAGCACCGCGTCTGTGGGTTCCTGAGACTGAGACTCTTGACGGGTGTAGAAAGCCCCATCTTTCCCCTGTGGAGCAGCTGGTGGTTCCCAGCTGCTGACCTTGCAGTTAGCCGCCCACCATGTACCCCACCACCCCAGCAGCGCTGCAGGGCCGGTGAAAGGAGAGGCTGGCTGGGGCCTCGTAGGGCCTGTGCACACTTGTGCTTCGCGAGGGGCAGCCTTGGGGCCATGAACTGTCAGTTCTGACACCCTCTTCTTTGACCAGCCCCATCTCCACAGGCACCCCATCAGGCAGGCAAGGCAAGCTGGGCCTCTGGGGACCTTCTTGGCCATGTGCTCACCACGTGCGGGCAGGGACAGGACCCAATGGTGTCCAACTCCCCACTAGCCAGAGGCCCAGGACTCACCCCCAATGTCCTGGGGCCCTGTGAGCGCCCAGTCCAAGTGGCAGCACGTCTCATGAACTCCAGCACAGGTGTCATGCACAGCCCAGGGACAGCCTGCCCCTCAGGCACCTCCCACCCCCACCATACAGAGTGGCCAAGCCAAGCCTGCTGGGCAGTGCCCACCCGGCACCAGGATGAGACAGAGAGCTGCTGACTCACCGGGCAGTAGCTTGGCCATGACCTTGGCCTGCCAGCTTCCCAGAACAGGTGGCCCTCACTGCTGGCTTTGCTCCTGGCCCTCCCTGATGCTGCTCTCCCCCTCAGGTGACGGGAAGGTCAAGCCCATCTCCATCAACCAAATCCTCTCCAATGACAGCCTCATCGGCTACAATAAGTTTGTGCAGGTACAAGCTCAGTGGTTCCTGGTTAGAGGGAGGGCATGGGTGGGGGCGGGGCAAGAATTGACGTCTGGGGCGCACAGGCTCCTGGAAGCTCAGGCTGGAAGGGCTCAGGAGTCAGGCACATAGGAGGAGGAGGAGCAACCCAGGCAGAGGGAACAGCACGGGTGCCCACGCTGAGCCTGGGGTGGAACACAGGGGCCTGAAGTCCAGGACGAGAAGGGGAGACCAGGGCACGTGAAGCCCCGCAGTCTGGTCCCCTGGCAGAGTTTCGTCTGTGACTCTGGGAGCCGCTCTTGCTTATGGGGGAACACACTCTCTGTTTGCTGTGTGGGCAGGCCCAGCAGGAAACAGGTAGCACTTCAGGCTGGGAAACTGGGGGCATTTCATGAAGGGCTCGTCCCTGGACCCATCTGGTAGACGCCCCAGTACAGAGGTGGAGCCAGTGGTCAGGAAGGAGGTGGGCCGAGAGACGCATGCATGATGTCCAATGATCAGAGGGCGTTTTAAGCCAGGTAGCTGAGTGAGACCCCTGTGGGAAGGAGGCATGAGAGCAGACTAGGGGGCAAAGAGGGGGCCCTGGACCCCTCCCATTTTCAGTCATTCTGGAGGATAGGACTTGGGCAGAGATGGGCAGAAAGAAGGTTTGCTTGGACAGTGACCTGCGGGCACTTGGACGTCCTCCTCTCCTGGGGTCCCCTCCACACACTGGCAGGGTGTCCCTAACTCTACCTCCCCACCCCCCAGAGCTGCATCGACTGGAACCGCGAGGTGCTGAAGCGGGAGCTGGGCCTGACGGAGCGGGACATCATCGACATCCCCCAGCTCTTCAAGACGGACAGGAGGAAGGCAGCTGCCTACTTCCCGGACTTGGTGAGGCAGGGGCGGCAGGGGTACCCACTCGTGTGCCAGAGGACTAGGCGTTTGGTCTCAGGTGTGTCTGGGGCTGGTGGCAGCTGGCAGGGAGAGCAGGCAGGAGACCCACAAGTCCAGTATGGTCACTATGGAGTGCTCAGCGGCTGGAGCTCAAGGCCCTTCAGGGGAGGAGCCTCCTCTCCTCGCAGGGTCCCAGCCCTCTCTGTGGGGTGCGCGAGTGGTTGCCCGTGGATCTGTGAAGTGTGTGGCATGCTTCCTGTCTCCTGACTCAAGGCTGCTCATCGACTCCACACTATTGGGGGTGCCCTGTGGGGTACAGAGGTGACTGTCTCTGCTCTCGTGGGGCTTCCAGGCAATCTGCTAAGCGGACATACGCTTCACCCTAACGGGGCCTGTTCCTATGATTCAGTTAGTATCATAAAGCATGGTGTCTAAGCAAGGGCTTACTTGTGCTTACTTACTACTATTCTGTGGTGAACAGTAAAAAGCAGGTGGAATTGTTCCCTACAGATTAATAAGCAGGCACAAGTAAGCCCATGCTTACCTTGCTTACTGGGTCCCCTGCCCCTGGCAGAGACTGTCAACTTGAAAGGAAACTCGGGTTCTGTGGGAAGGACCTGTGGGGCTGGGGGAGAGACAGGTGCCGGCCAGACCTAGAAGCCGCATCTTGTGATGTGGTTGTGAAATCATTTGTTCCTTTGCCTGTGGGGGCATCGGGCCCTGTGATGAAGTGACGGGAGACTTCAGAGGCAGGCAACGCGCTCTGAACCTTAGAGGTAGGCCCGGGGATCTGAGAAGACTTCGTGGAAGAAGTGTCCTTTAACGGAGTGAGCTGGGAGGGCTTGGCCTCTGCTGCTTGTAGAACTTGAGCAAGCGTCTGAGCCAGCTGTGTGGCCGGGGGCCCCGCCTGGTTCCGGGCCAGCAGGTCTGGGGTGATGCTGACGCTGACCCGAGGACCACACGTTGAGTGGCACTGCCCTGATCACCAAGCGCCCCTTCCTACCTCCATCCTCCCAGGGATGCAACTCACCCATCTTCAAAGCTACATGGGGAGGCTTCTCTCTACACCCCCACGCACGACCCATCTCCCCTCTGCTTTCCCCTTTACGGCTCACCAAGGTCGTCTTGATTCCCCTATTGCAACAAAGCCTCTTGTCACCACTTCCTTCCTTGGTGTCTAAGGCAGCCTTGCAGTGAATGTCTGTAACCAAGAAGGGGTGCATTGGTTCAGGCTCTTGTGTTTTCAAGGAACGGAGGGCCACTCAGGCTTGCTTAGCCAGAGAGGGGCGCAAGATACCTGGCTGGAGGGATGCTATGAAGCCAAGGGCAGAGGGTCTGTAAGCCCATCCCACTTCCTCTAGCTCAGTTTCCATTGCTTCCCTGTCCCTGGAGACGACTATGAATATGACCACCCATTGTAGATGCAGACCCAGCAGAGGCTGACTCCCCTCCCCCTCAAGGTCGACTACGTCTGTCATGGACAGGGGATCCTATCAGTTGGACATCCTCCTCTCCTGGGGTCCCCTCAACACACACTGGCAGGGTGTCCTCAACTCCACCTCCCCACCCCCCAGAGCCTGGTCCCATCAGCTAAGCCTCGTAGTTTGGTTTCTGCAGCACCAACACGGAGAGAGGTGACGAGAGAAACCAATTGTGGTTGTCAGCGCTGTAGGCATGCACAGTGTAACAGAGATCTCACTAGCCAAGGTCCCATCCCACACCACAGGGCACGGCCACTACAAACTGCCAAGGCCACTCAGAGCCAAGCCGAGTGCCTAGTGCAGCCAAATGAGGGTGGGGAGGGCCCTGGGAGCCTGATAGTAAAATACTGCCTCCTCTACCATCCCCGGCCTGCAGGTGAACATGCTGGTGCTGGGCAGGTTCCTGGGCATCCCGAAGCCCTTCGGGCCCCTCATCAATGGTCGCTGCTGCCTGGAGGAGAAGGTGCGGTCCCTGCTGGAGCCGCTGGGCCTGCACTGCACCTTCATCGACGACTTCACCCCATACCACATGCTGCACGGGGAGGTGCACTGCGGCACCAACGTGCGCCGGCAGCCCTTCCCCTTCCCGTGGTGGAACATGGAGCTCTGAGCCGGCCCGCCCGGCATCCTCTCCCTCTGGGGTCAGGCTGTGGGTCAGTGGATGGAGACTGAGACAGGCCCCTGAACAAAAGCATCAAGTGACCCCGAGCTTCTCGATGGAACCCGATGCCAAGAGGGACCTGTCTCTCACAGCAGCCTTTTCCTAACACGGCCCACCCCTCACCTGCACCCCATTCGGTTCTCAGACGTGCCTTGCCGGGCCTCTTAAGAAGGAGCTCATCTCTCGTGGCCTCTCACGAGGATCAGTATGATGCACAGGGACTTCCCCAAGCATCCCTTTCCCCACCTCCAAGTCCTTCATTTAGGGGAAAGTTCACTTTAGGGTTCAGAAACTTCAATGCATCTCATCTGCTGCCTCCGCCCAGCCCGGGCATCCTAGTGGAAGAAGAACCCAGGATTCTGGCTTCCTGCTCTGCAGGAACTGCTGGCTGCTGGCTCCCCGCTCTGTAGAGAAGAGCCCCCACACTGGACCACTCCACTTAGGAGGCGGGGGGAGGGGGGGAGCTTCTTCTCAAAGCCTCAGACCTAGGGAAGGAGCAGGGATCTAGTTCAGTCATAGCGGGGCCATCCTTTCAGCCCCCCAGCACCCAACCAGATATTGAAATCGTACCCCGTCCACCTGGTGCCCAGTTTCCACAGAGGTGCGTCTTAGAAATGTGCTGAAGGGTAACAATGACCTCTCATCCACCATCCGACAGCCCCTGGAATCTCTTGGAGGTGAAAGTTGATGGGGTCTTCCTGGAGGCTGGGAGACTGTGGGTGTGGAGTGAAACAGGTCCTTCGTCATGTACAGGGGTGACCTTGGTGATCCTGCCTTCCCGGGCCCCGAGTCCTCTCTCTGCAGGATGGGGACCCTGCTGAATCGGCCCAGACCTTCTGTTGACCTCTGGTCAGCATTTCCATATCCTGCTGAGCCCCAGGATACGGGGGTCTGAGAGGGGCCACATCCACGGGGTCGGCGCACAGCCCCAGGGGTGTGTGAACTTCTCGTAGGGAAGTAAGGGAGGGCGTGGGGAGGGACGGTTTTCTCAAGATGTGTGTCGGCTACTGGTGTGTTCTGTGTGGGGATAGCTGTGTTTCCATCATGGGCTAATAAATTAACAAAAACTAATGGCTTGGGTGGAATCGGAGCCCTTCTTGGGGTTTGAAGCGGACAGCCTCCCAGTTCCTGCACCACCCCACCACCCCACCTCCTTAACCCCCTCCCCAGCCCAGGAACTTGGACTGGAAGTCAACTGCCCAAGCTCACATTTGTATAAGCCTGTGGCTTTGCCTGATCTTGGCCCCAGGATGAGCTAAGGTGGCCATGGACTGTGGTGCTGATCAAAGCAAGCCCCAGGAAAGTGCTAGGCTGTCAGCAGGGCACCCTGTCAACAGGGCGGGGCCGGCAGTTGCTGGCTGTGGCCATGGGGAAATGCATCTGCAGGGTATGTGCAAACCTGCTGGGAGCCCTTAGCCTTAGCCTCCTTCCTGCCCAGAGAGACCACACCACCTTGTAAAGGGCCCGTGACCCTGGTGCTGAACCCTGAGATGCCACTGCTCCCATCTGCTTGTTCTCCTCAGAAGTGCAAACAGGGAACCAACCACATGCCAGCTGGTGCGGGGACAAGAGGGGATGGACAGCTTCCTCCCCGAGACCGACTTGGGGTCTCAAGGATTGATGGCCAGCATCTCCAACCGGACCAGGTTGTTCGTTCTTCCTTCTTTTGCTCTGACAACTCATCTTTCAACCTGCGGTGTATTAAACAAGAAACCCAACCCAACTCTTTGCTGCCGAGTTGATTTCGACACGTCGACCCCGTAGGACAGTGAAGGGCTCACCGAGGGCTCCCAGGCTGCACATCGTCTGGGCATAGGCTGCCTCTGCTGTATCTTGGGGAGCAGCTGGTGGATTCAAACCACTGACCTCTGTCATTAGCTGAGTGCTGAAGCACTGTGCCGCAGGGATCCTATATGAAACATGCACACAAAGCATGTTAAATCGTGGGCCCCGGCGTGGAACAAACGGCTTGCACTCTGCGGCTTACCTAAGCTCTGGTGATGCAGACTCTCCGAGTGCCACAAAGAAAGGCTGCCCATCTGCTTCCAAAAAGACCACAGCCAGAAGCACTGTGGTAACGCCTCTGTCAGACACGGGCCGCCGCCTCGAGTCAGACTTTGTTAGACAGCAGTGTGTTTGTCTGCACGGGAGGGGGTGGGGTGTGCGCATCTCAAGATGGACAGCTAACAGCATGTGTCACCCACTTTAAGTTCGTCATTGTATGCAGGCATCACTACCATGGGTTCCAGAATGTTCCATCATGGTGATACAAGCTCATCGCCCCCACCCAGAGTTCTTCTTCCCTCTCTCCCGTCTCTGGTGGGAGTGCTGTGTGCGGCGGGCTCCAAACGGCCCAGCGTGGCGGAGCGGAACTGCCCCCTCAGCCTCCTAACTTGCCATTTGCAGGGGACAGATTACCAGGCCTTTCCCACAGGGAGACTCCCTCTGTGAGGATGCGGACCGCTGCCCTTTTGATCAGCAGCCGAGCACTTTAGCCACTGTGGGACCTGGTCTCCTTCCCACCTCTGGTAAGGGCTAATAAGCTGGGGTCTCCCAAACAAAACCAAATTCTCTGCCATGCAGTCGATGCCAACTCATAGCGACACCGTAGGACAGGGTAGAACCACCCCTGTGAGTTTCTGAGACTGAAACTCTTTATGGGAGTAGAAAGCCTCATCTTTCCCCCTTGGAGTATGCTGGTGGCTTTGAACTGCAGACCTTGCAACTAGCAGCCCAATGGGTTTCCACTGTGCCACCAGGGCTCCCTTGTCTATTCTAGACACCCCTTATTAGTGGGATGATATAATATCTACCCTGTGACTGACTGATTTTCCTCAGCCTGAAGTGTCCAAGGTTCATGAACATGTGCAGATATGAACAGAATCAGCCAAGTAGGGACTGGGGACACACACATGTCCTGAAAGGGTGTGGGGTGGGGTGTGAGGCTGGGTGGACTTGGGAAACAGATCCAGTAACACTCATAAGAGAGAGCTTTATATCAAGTAGTAATTATATGTCAAGAAAACATCCAGCCCATCAACTCAAGTCAATACGTCTGATACTAGTCCATAAGTCCCTCTTCAGACCCACACAGCCACATTACAGGCTGGTGTGTGCAAAGTCCTGTGGATCCGAGGTAGGTGGAAGCATGGCAGGGCTTAGGCAGCTCTTGGGGTGTCTAGCAAGCAGGAAAGTCAAGGCAGAGAAGGGGAGGTACCCTGGACCCTTCTCATGAGAAGGTCAGGCCCACAAGGAGGCACCAGGCTGTGAGCTGTGACAGGCTAGACTCCACCCTAGCCGTTTATATATGCTCAAGTGGACATAGAATTATACAACCGCCACAGATGGCAACGTGGCTCTCTAAAGGCAAGTGCCCCAAACTGAGAGGCCCGAGAGAGCTTCAGCTTCTCTCACCCTCAGACACCTCAGACTGGCTATAGGCTCTGGTGTACCCCCGCCTGCAGGCAGGAAGTCCCGGAAACCACCTGCCTCTCCAGTGTGCCCGTGTGCTCCAGATTGGGGTGGGACACAGGGTGGCCCAGGAGCCCACCCACATGCAGAGGAAACCAGGTGCCCCACCAAGTCCACTGAGACCTATGTCACCCATGGAGTGTCGGGCTGGTTTCCCACAAGTAGACCACCAGGCCTTTCTTCTAAGGGACCGCTGGGTGGCTCGCAGCTGAGCACATCAACTCTGTACACCATCCAAAGACTTCTACTTCCAGGGCCCTGGAAATGGCATTCACCTGACCCGAGCTGAGGACAGAGGCGGTGCATGCCCCTCCTGTGACTGCAATGCATCCCCGCAAACGGGGCCCCTGCACAATGCAAGCTTGCTCACACTTATCACGGGTCTCCTGGGCGGAAACCACCATGTCCACAGGCCTGGGTCCCTCTGTCTGCTTGCAGGGAGCATCCAGTCCCTGGTCTTGGCTGGTTTCTAAGGAGCCTAGATGGTGCAGTGGTTAAGTGCTGTTGTTAGGGACAGAACAGGGAAGCTGGAAAATTCCACTTAAAAAAAAACAACAACCCTAAGAATAAGGGAGTCTAAAAAGAAGAAAAGAAACCAAACCCACTGCTATGCAGTCGATGCCAACTCACAGTCACCTGTCAGACAGGGTAGAGCCGCCCGGGGGGTTTCCAAGACTGCATCTCTGTATGGGTGTAGAACCCTCATCCTCCTCCTAAGAATAAGGGCGTAGTCAGGAAGAATTCGATTGATAAACTGCAAATTTACTAATTCAAGGACCCTGCGATCAGCAAACGCTCTCCCACCGTAAAGCGAAAGAACCTTGTTGTTCATTATAACAATAGAAATCACACCCACTAGCACTGGGACAATTCATCACCTAAGAGATGGCTGACACTTCCGACCTTGCCAAGGAAGGGAACGTGAAGGATGGGCCCCCCACACTTATCAGCGTCTCACCCTTTCCCCCACCCCACCCCGCTTCCAAACAACCATGACTAGCCTCCCTCAGCGTCCATCTGTAAAACTAGAATCGGTATCCCTGCATCGTACTGCCCCGCTGGTACAATTCCGCTTTCGTCGTGTGCTTTGCTTTGAGAAAAACGCGTGGCTGAGTGAGACGCCGTGTCTGTGTGATAACTTTTTTTTACCACGTCTGCCGATGCCTCTGAATGTTGGTAGAAGTGGAGCGGGAGGCCAGGGACACCTGAAGAGGATTACACTGCGAACCAAGAAGTCAGCAGTTGAAACACCGGGTCTCTCTGTGGACGTCTGCTTCCATCAGCACTGACAGCCTCTGTCCCACAGAGGGGCTGTGGGTGGGAACAGACACCGTGGCAGTACGTTTCAGAGCCACCTGCTTCCTCCATCTTCACCCCCAGCCAGGAAACATGTTCAAATCTGGCTCCTCTGCCTCTTTCTTCATGTCTAGGGCTCTGTGGGATTCCATTGGACCCACCCCGATAAATCCAGGAGAACT